AAAAGCGAGAGGGCAAGCTCGCCCCGTTAGCTATGAGGGGGCCGTTCAGGACGATTATGGTCGAAATACCTCTCACAAACACATGTGAAAAATGTCTGTACATACACTACTAAACCACTCTACAGTAAACAACTGAAAGGAATTATTCGCTTCGCTACACACTATCTGATGAACGCTGTCACACATACAAGTGAAACGCTCTGTAGTATACACTACTGAAAAGTCGCTACATACAAGTGGTGAAAGTGCTCTCACACACAACTACTGAAAATCACTCTCACGCACCACTACTGAAACGCTCTCACGCAACTACTGAAAGCGCTCTCACATACACTACTGAAACGCTCTCACACATACTATGGAACGCTCTCACCGGACGAGCATACTGAAACGCTCTCACATACACTACGAAACGCTCTCACGCACGACTACTGAAACGCGTTTCGACATACTGGAACGCTCTCGACGCAGCACTAGCTGAAACCGCTCACACGAATCTACTGAACGCTCTCAGCACACGATAACTGGAAGGCGCTCTCCAACACTACTGAGACGCTCTCGAAGCGACTACTGAAAGACCACTCTCACACACACTTACTAAGTACGCTGTCATGATACACCTACTGAAACGTCTCACACGGAAAGACAACTGAGTGACGACTCTCGACATCAGTAGCAACTGGAAACGCTCGAGTGAGTAGGGATGTATATCGTACTAGCATTGAGAGGATGATCAGTAGTGCGGCGTGCGGAAAGCTGCATCTGCCTGTTACATACTGCCAGCCTTGAGTTTGCTGTTTTTTTAACTTCTTAACTCTTTGATTCTTCTTTTTGTTCGTTCTTATTTTTTCAACTGTACACTGCGTGACAGTCTCCCTGGTCCCTCTAAACGATGTGTTTGAGGAGAGGTTGTTTTGATTTCTGTTTTAAGTGCTGCTTTCCACCATGACTAGGGTGGCCATTTCCTTCACATCAAAAAGAGAACACTTTGACATATACAGGACACGCAAGCAGATGATTTGTATTGTATGATCGCTATTTTACAGTCTAATAATGATTTTTCCACCCAGATGTGAGCATAAAGGTGCATACACAAGCGCACAGCAGCTAATGGAATAAATACTTTTACAAGATAGCAGGCTCATGACAACTGCCTTGCCAACTGCAATTACATAGGTCTATATAAACATCATACAGAAATCGTTCTAATGTTCTTTATCTGGGATAGATAGAAGGGGTAAAAAATAAATACAGCACCTTCTGTTTCAAGATGTTCAGGGCTGCCTTGACATATGACACAGAGCTGATCGCCGCTAATGCGGCCTGCATAGGGACAGAACAGCGCTGTTCTGATGCGCAAATAGTACAATATGTATACCAGAATAATAAAACATATGCAATAGAAGAAAATATAATAAACTAAGAGGATATATAAGATGTTTAGTGATAATATTATTATTGGTTGACTTTATAATCAAATTAATATATACAGTTATTAAACATTTGTAAAGAATATTGTGTTGTCATGATTACGAATCATTCTTGAAGTATACATGAAAAGAGCTCATCCGTATAGCCAGGAATTATTGATGCAATTGTGTTTCTTACAGTACCTCAGAATATAAGAAAACAGCACTTGGAGGGTACAGATATGGAGCTTTTATTGTTGACATTTCTCCACCCTGATGCAGTAAAGGATACGTTTGATATCTAAGTATGTTTTTGTATTTAGTCATGGGCGCATGAACCTTTTATGAGTATTTTAAATTAGGTTCGATGAGGGAAGTTACTGTTCTTAATACTTTATTTTGAGAACCGAATTGAATACGCGGTTTCTTTGCGCTTTACCATAATGCTGAAGAATACTTGTGACACTCGAAATTTAAGGCTGCTGATCGAAGTCGACGCTGCTTGATCCCGCAAGTGGTTCAACTACTTGCAGTTGTTTGTCAGACATTAGTGTTCTAGTGAACAACGTGGTTGCGATCAACACGTGAAGTCCTGCTGGTGGACATGTTTGTGAACCGATAGCCCTTCCGTTTACTGAAACACCTTCCGTTTTGACCGCAAGGCCATCCTCTCACACACCAACTGACTGAAAAGCTCTCACACATCACTACTGAAATGCTCTCACACATAGCAAGCTGAAACGCTTCACAGTATACAAACTGAAACGCTCTCACGACCACTACTGACAAGCGGCTCGGCGCGGCACACGCAACTACTGAAACGCTTCACATTTACAGGAACTGAAACGCTCTCATCACACCACTACTGAAACGCTCTCACACACACTACTGAAGACGCTGCTCACACGGACTAGTGTACGCGTACATCCACAGAACAAGAGAGGGGAGGACTGTAATATCTTCCTCCGGTCTCCACGTTCCTCTCGTCCCGACCGGCTTGCTTCCCAGGGTCTTTCGCGCTACGGGCAGGAGTTGCAGTCTGGCGAAATCAGCTGTTTGCCATATGCCAGCATTTCAGCTGTTCTCTGGAGAAACAACAGCAAGCGTGTCCCTGGGGCAATAGAGTCGAGCTAGAATTAAGACACACACTCATTTGTCACTCACTTTGAAGAAATGAAACAAAAAAAGACTATAATTGACATAATAATACCTTGTCAGTTTACGTTATTATTGCTGGCTACAGAAAAAGAAAAGTGAATCTTCATTGGCTGTCACATTTTCTTGTCCACCGATCAACACATGGCTAGATTATGAATATTTGAAAGTGAGCCATGTGTTTGGTGCCACAAACTCGCTCAGGCTGTTCAATTCAACACTCAGCACAGAGAACAGTATGACATTAGATAAAGTCAGTTGTTGACGTGAAAGCTTCGAAGAAATGCTGTCGGGTATACCTCTGGCATTGGACCAGTACTGTACAAGGGCAAAGCGGGGCCGCTGGAACAGTCTGAACCCAGGAAGGTGCTGGTATTTATTTGTTTTACATTTTCCCGTATCCAGATAAAAAAAGCATTGAAAACCGTTTCTGTACTGAGTGTTTAGTAGAGGCTATTCAGGCAGGTAGCAGCGGACAGCTGTTGCTCCGGAGTGACACAATGGCAGCGGTGTCCTGTAGGGGTGCCGAGTCAAAATGAACGTAACATCCGCCGATAACGAATAGAGTTGCAGACTCTGCTTAGAAGTCTTCGCCGAGTAGGAGACCGGGCGGCCTCGTCGGTCCACCTTCCTCTCTGGGTCCGCCAGGCGTTCTTCCCTCCTCTGGATCCCGGGTTTCTCCAGAGTTCAGCTGGTAAGATCAGCTGTTCTTCCACTATGCCCGCGGCGACTTAGTGCGATTCATGCCTTCTCCGTGAGTAAAAGACTTGCTAGTGTTGTGCTCCCTGGTAGGGTGGCCATTCTCCGCTGTAGGCTGGGGACAGTGCGGCGCTTTAAATTGCGGCTGTCTGGCTGGAAGGCAGGTCATTGGTCCTCCTTTGAGAAAAATAACAAAAAAGGCTTTGCCTTTTTGACCAGTACCGTGTGTGTTTAGATACTTGTTGGCTAAAATGTGTGTCAAAAAAGCTAGTGGTCGCAAAGTAAGTAGAGTTCAGTGTAGGGTTACAGATTTTGTCTGATCCTATTCAACACGAGGCCGGCTATATTCGGCTTAATAATTCAAATGAGGCCAGTGGGTTGATGTGCGGACAAGTATTCACTCAGGTGTCAGATCAGATCCTCTCAGGTTAGGCTAAGAGTCAGATTGTTGGACTTGAAGATTCTGAAATCATGGCTCATACTGCAATGGGTATAGCAGGATGGCGGCGGGGTAGCAAAGCGGGGCTGGAAGCAATGCTAAACAGACAGGGTGCTGTATTTTTTTTTACCTTGTATCTATCCAAGATAAAATACATTAAGAAACATTTCGGTATGATGTTTAGTTAGACCTAAGGTGTATCTGATTGGACAGGGCAGTGTGTCATGAGCTGTATCTTGATACTAGTTTACGTCTATTAGATGTGGTATGTTGTATGCACCTTTATGGAAGGGTCTGGGTGGAAAAATCATGATTAAATGGTAAAAAGGTATCATACCAAGACGAATTATCGCTGCTTGCGTGTCCCCGTGTAGTGCAAAGTGGTCCTCCTTTTTTGATTTGTGAAGGGGAAATGCACCTTAGTGTCCGGGTGGAAGCAGCATTAAAACATGAAACGTAAAAACACAACAACTCTCAAACCAAACAGTCGTAGAAGGGCAGACCTTCAGAGAGTTACAGTGAACAGAAATAAATACGAACAAAAAAGAGGAATAAAAGTTAAGAAGTTAAGAAGAAAGCAAACTCAGAAGGCGTTGGAAGTAATTCGTAAACAGGCAGGCAGTGCAGCCTTTCGCTTGCACGCGCGACCTACTGCATCATCTCAATGTAGGGTATAGTCTATTATGATGAGGCGTTTCGAGGGTTGTAGTGGGGAGCTTTCAGTGGTTTGTGGTGAGGACTGTTGTGGCGGAGTATGATATCCCCCGTCGAGAGCGTCTCAGTAGTTCGGTTGTGTGGAGGCTTCATATATATATATAAAAAATAATATAATATGTAAATAATACAATAATAAATAAAACAATATCTGCCTCAATAGTTGTATCTTGTAGTAGTTTCAGTTAAGTTGTTTATTAGATATTATTGGTTGTCTTATATGATGCCAATATGGCATTAAAAGTCTGCAGCTCGACTTAATTTTAACCAACTTTTTTTATCATTTATAAACAGTTTAACACTTGAACACACCTAATGTAAACAGCTAAATGTAATGTAAAACACCTAAATGTAAACAGATATAAATACTATTTAAGTATATTTATGTAGCTGTCAGCAACTTTAACACCATAAGCAAAAAATGAATGAAAATATAAGTTGAAAACTTATATCCAGAGGTGTAAAAATATGAATGTTTTGGACTATAAATATAAATGAAGGTAAACAACAGACGGGACTATAAGAACAATATAAAAATGTATACAAGGAATAATCCAGAGATTCAGAAGTTGAGGACTCACAAGAAACAGGACAACAAACAGAATAAATGAATAAATTATTTTAAAAAACATTGAAATTGAAGCACATATCCTGACTTTTAGCCCCGAGTGTGGGGCAAACTTTCCAATTTCCCATAATGCAACTACATGGCATCCAGACACCTCTATCAAAGCCTGCTGTTTCTCTTCTCTTCCTTCGTCCCACTTATAATTCCTTGTTTCCTCCTACTTCCTTACTTAATTCATTACGTTCCCTTCCCTCTTATAGTCAGCTACGTCTCTTTGCCCTTTCATTTTTATCCCGTCTTCTTCATTTCACTGTTCTTTTCATCATTCCTCCTCTTCCATCCAATCCTGTTTTTCAACCCCCTGCCTTCAGCACCGCCTAAACCGCCCTGGTAACACTTTTTGCCAAAAAAAAAAAAAAACCCTCACACTGCTTTTCGCCTTGTGTGCTAAGCAGCGGATCAAACTAAAACAAATTCTGATTAAAAGTGATACACTTAACTCAAACCTTCAAGAATAAAACAGGTGGGTGAGCTCCGGATGAGCCATCTTTCCCCCCACCCAGAAATCCATTTTCTAAATTTCTGAGCAGCAGTCACAATCATCCAGAGTGCCCACAGCACCCTGCTTCTGTCTCTCCACCCCGACATGAAATATTAATGATGCCCGCAGTCCGCAGGAGCCCAAGCGTTCCCAGGAAGAGAAAGCACCGCTCGCTGTGTCAAACAACTGCAGCTCCAGGGGAAGTTAACATGTGTAAGTGGAGGGAAGGCAGGGTGGGATGGATGCATCGAGGGCGGGACAATGAGCGGTATATGTGTTGTGGTTGCTTTAACTGTGCGTCCGTGTTTAATGTTTTATATGAGGAGTTATTTGTGCAGAAATAATGTTAAGAGCAGAGAGCATATTTGAAGCCTTTCCAGATTTATAAAAAAATAAATCAGCATTTCATGGGTTGCAACAACACAATTTAGTGGTTTAAATCAACCTGAACCTCGCAAAGCCAATGCTAGTTTTTGCTATCTGACTTATCCTTATGATAAATGTTGGGCTAATGCTATGTACTGACACTACCCCACAGACACACAGTGGATATTTAGTCTCTTTGGGCTGCTAGCTTAGCTACTACAACACAGAAACCTTTACATACAGACACGAATGTGCTTCTAGTGACAATTTTGGGAGTGTAGTTACATTTTAAGGGAAAACTGCAAACGTGGCATGAAGCAGAAGTACTACTGTTTCTATGGTCACCTGCAGTTTAATATATCTTGCAAGCTGCTTTTGAGTCTGTGAATTTGTGTGTGTGCACGTGCTCACCTCCGCCAGTCTGGACTGTTTATGGCTGACTTCGTGTTTGCCTATGGGCGCCAGCTGCTGCAGCGTGTTGCGGTTGTTGGTGAGCGCCCGTGTCAGCCGAGCAAACTTGGTCCATCCTGCAGGAATGAAGAACACAAACAGAACACAGTCAGCTCTCAGCCACCAGTGTTGATACCCAGTTCATGACCTCCAGGGACAAACTAGAGTTACAAAATATTCCCACAGCTTTTCACTTGTACTTGCCACTAGAGGAACAAGAACAGTGTTTATTTCCCCCAGTTGGGAGCTCCTATTTACAATAAACTCGGCATGATGTGAATGCAGCACCGCCTGCTCTCACGGCAAACACCCGCCCTGCAGAAAGTGTCCTTGAACACAACTGGACCTCCAGCAGCTGCAGGGTTTCTGCTCTGCAGCGGTCCGATGTGCGCTGACCTCCGTGTGCTGAAGGACAATTCTCTCTCCTTCAGGGGATCAATACCACAGCAATCACTGAAGATTTAGCATATGTTTGTTCTGTGAATATGGAAGCTTCTGTCTGTAGGTTAATTTAGAAGTTTCAACCATTGACAATGGGACAATGGGGTCTATTAGTTCCCTTCACTGGAGTCACAGCTCTATCTAAGGCAGATAATATATATATATATATATGGAAAATGACATGACAGTAAGCTAATACTAGCAATGTTCCTAATGACTAATTTCCCTTACGTTTAAATGGACATTTCAATTTAGACTAAGACGGCCTCTGACACAGCAGTTGTACATCAGTAAGATATTAATAATTAGTTCAACCAACAAGTATTTCTGGAGCCAGGTAGCAAGGTCTCCACTTTGGCTGCTCAACTAACGTTACTTTGGCTTACATTAACTAATGTTATAGTTTCACAAACAGTAATAAACAATAAACCAAGTACTATTTCTGGTGCGGCTAATGACGCATCCCCAGCTAATAATAGGTTGTTTATGAACATCTATTCCAATACTAAACTAATTTTTAACAAATAAAATCGACTACAGCTGTTAAAATCTAAAATGAGAAGCCTGCTAAAAGCCTTCGTTCTTTCTCTGGATCAAACCCTGTGTTCATCCTGGTTTTCAACTTGTGTATGACTTGTAGTTTTCATCTCAATGCTTGCGATTAATATACTCTTTTAGCATTTTATTATACTGTCTGTATGGAAAAGGATAAACCATTACAGCTAAAAATGTTCAGGTTTCCTCTGGAAGTCAGTCTAAATAATACAGGGCTGTCCAGCAGTGGTCATTTTCTTGCCAGTTACAATGCTGCTGAATGAAAGCAGACACAGCTTTGCGAGGAATGGTGCTCCTACTGTACCGCTCTAAAAATAAAATCAAATGAAAGGGCAAAGAGTAGCACCACAGAGGCACACCACATACCGTAGCCACACATCGTGATCGACCCGGCCCTTTGAAGGGACCATTACGAATAAAAAGTGGACTTTGAAATAGCTTTTAACCCTCAGGCCTTCAGCTGCATAAAAAAAAACCCTTTCATTCTCTGGTCAAATGCAGGCAAATTCAGCCAGCCATTCATTCCTCTGTGCAGTCGTGTGAAACAAAACACAACAGAGTCTCATATACAAAACAGAATATATAGTTTATTCAGAGTTTATTCAAAGTATTTCCCTTCGAGGGAAACTGTTGTAGTGGCTGTTGTGTAACTTAGTATACATCTTCAGTTGCAGAGCGGCTTCTTTTATGTGATTTTCTATATGCTAATACCTTAAATTGGCTCAGGATCAGCACAGATAATAAGCCTGGGTGCTCTTAGCCAAAATGGAGGTTTTTCAATATCTTTTCTGAAAGGAAAACTGCTGCAGTAATGCTTGTGTAACTCACTATAATATTGTACAGTTTATTGTTGGCGGTTGAAAAGCAAAAAGCCCAGAGTCATCTAAACCAGAGAGATGAATGTCAGTTAATATTTAGTACGATACTTAAAAACAGACTTTACTTGACTTATTTTTCACATTCTGAGAGTTTCCTGAACTAAAGTTTTATAAAATTTTTGAAAAAGGGTACTTTTCAAATTTGATGCTTAAATTTAGACCAACTTTTGAAAGTGTGACGACACATTAATCCTCTAAAACTTTAATTAATGAGCAGTAAACACATCCTCACACGGTATCTAGTGCTGTATAATGGACATTAATTCGTTTGCTAACCTCTTGAATCTCCTCTGTACTTGTAGCTACTTGTATCCCATAATCTTCACTTGTGGCCACAGTTCAGAAAAGTTTACACAAACTCAAAACTCAAACTTAAAGTGAGAGTTGCCCACTTTAATGACATCATAAAATATAGATAAAAACACAATAAACAAGCTAACAAGCTCAGATGTCTTTTTCATATTCTACAGTCCTTTTCATCATTAGTCGAGTTTTTGCTCATAAATTCAACTTTGCATTCATATAATAAAGATTTTCAAGTCATACCAGCTAACTGCAAATCATTGACAGTATATCTAATGGACAGAGCTTCTGGGTCTGAAAAATGAAGCCAATGTGGAAGTGTCTTAAACCTGCATTCTGTGTA